TAGGGATTGAGCCCTGACCTGGAATCGAACTGGTGCTGAGCTGTACTATCTGGGCTGCTTCTTTATTTTTTAATCCTCACTGGAGAACATGCTTAGAGAGTGAAATAGAGAGAGGGAGAGGAAGATGGAGAGAGGTTAAGCTCCTTGGTAGCAGGACCCTGCAAGATACCCCTCACAGGTTGTCTGCATGAATGGATAATTAATGAACAAACTAGCATCAACTCTTGAGTCAAGGTGCCTTTTAGGCTCAAAGAATTTAAGTAACCTGTCCAAGATCACACCAGGGAAAACCAGGACTTGAATGAGGATCCAAGATCTTTCCTAACTATCTTGCTTCTCTACTGTGTCACAGAATATAATTTTGACTATAGGTATTTCATGACAATAGCACCCTTTTTCCAAACATTATCTTCTGGCCAATGATCTACTTTTGGAAAAGGCTAGACTGCTTCCCTCAATCTGAGAATGTTCTTGTAGGGTGTAACTTGTTTCCCAGGAGCCTTTCCAGCCCTATTATATCAAGGGCATGGGAGAGCTGTTTTCAAGGAGTAGGAACACCCACTATGATCCACCTTACAAAGGTATCAACTGTTCCCTTTCAAATCAAATCCCAAAGATCAACATGCTTCTTAAAAAGAGGTGAACATGCCTTAGCTGTTTTTGCTCAGTGGATAGAGCATCGGCCTGAGACTGAAGGGTCCCGGGCTCCATCCCCAGTAGGGGGCGTGCAGGAGGCAGCTGATCAACGATTCTCTCTCATCATTGATGTTTCTCTCTCTCCCTTTCCCTTTCCTCTCTGAAATCAATTTTTAAAAAAAGTGAACAAGAGAGGAAAATGGCTAAAAAATCTCCTACTTGCAAGAAATGTTCTTTTGAAAATCGAGTTTATGAAAAATACAGGTAGTCCTTGGGTTACATCAGACTTGACGTATGTCGTTGCCATCTCCCATTTACAGTATTCATATAAAAAAAAAGTTCCGTCGTTTTGACGTATGTGCTTTATGATTTTTATTATTTATTTACCACAAGTAAAGCTCAGGAATTGTTATCTTTCTTTTAAATTTTTTTTTACTGTTTCACTTCATTACTGCTGTGTATGTGCTCCATGTGAGTGACATAAGTGCTTATGTAGGTGGGTTCTGACTTATGGCAAAAAATTGCATTACATTGAGCCACAGGAATGGATCTCCGATGTAACCCGAGGACCTACTGTACTTGTGAAATAATTCAAGAAATAAAGTTCACTTAAGCCATCATTGTTCTCTGTAATATTATCAAGGGGAATATGAAGCTTCAATTACTAGTACATTTTGTTCTATTTGTCTCACTTTTTTCATTTGAATTTTAATACCTTTTCTGGTAACCTAATTGCAACAGTCCCAAGAGAGTTGTTTTTAACAAGACTAGATAGGCACCACTAAGTTTTATAAGATAACACAATTCACAGAAATATTCACATACAAAAAAATATTCACTTATGCTATTGTAAGTCTTATTTAAATATACAGAATGAGAAATACCATTAAGTAGAATTTGGCAAAGGTATATTTCTTGAGTCCCACTTACACTCTCCATAAAGTATCAAAATGAGACTTTGACAAGGCTTACATGGCTGGGCTAGTGTCATGAGGAGGCTCCGGTATGGAGACCTCTCTCTGGGTCTGAGAGACTAAGAGAGCTAAGTAATGGCCAAGTATATGTGTTATCTTAAAATATACATCATTAACCAGACAGGCTTTCTCCTCCTCTTGATCTCTTTAAGGTCCTTACCTATGTATCCACTGACCAAGTCTAAGTGATCCCCTCTATAGTACCTGATTTTCCTCTCTACAATCCCCTGGGCACACACTCCAAAGAATGCACCGAATACGGGTTTCTAAAACATGTATCTTAGAGCCAGAGGCCAGCAGGCAGGTGTCCTAAATGGAGAGACTTTAACACTAGCTCAGGTAAGAACCCAATTCCCAACTTCCTTTATGGGTCTTAGAATTCTGACTGCAGTCTTTTTTTTTTTTTAATGTATTTTTATTGATTTCAGAGAGGAAGGGAGAGGGAAATAGAGATAGAAACATCAATGATGAGAGGGAATCACCGATCGGCTGTCTCCTGCATGCCCCCCACTGGGGACTGATCCCGCAACCCAGGCATGTGCCCTTGGCTGGAGTCGAACTCGGGACCCTTCAGTCCACAGGCCAACGCTCTATCCACTGAGCCAAACCAGCTAGGGCTCTGACTGCAGTCTTATCCCCAAGGTTCTCACCCGAATGTGCCAAGTTACACCAACTCTCTGAATTCTAGCTCCCTACTACTCCTAGGATGAAATGACAGATGTGAAAATAGCTCAGAAGGCAGAAACCACTATGCGAACTAGAAGGTATTTTTAAAAAATATATTTTTATTTATTTCAGAGAGGAAGGGAGAGGGAGAGAATCACTGATTGGCTGCTTCCTGCATGCCCCACACTGGGGACCGAGCCCACAACCCAGGCATGTGCCCAGACTAGGAACTGTGACCTCCTAGTTCATAGGTTGACACTCAACCACTGAGCCATGCTGGGTGCAAACTAGAAGGTATTAAGAGCCCAGTACACAAGTTATTTTAGGTGTTGAGGAGTACACTAGGCCAGACATGTGTACGTGTGCAAGGGTAGATCTGTGTGAGATGAGAAAACCAGAAGGTCTACTCAGAGAGGACTCTTATCTGTGGAGGTGGCTTCTTCTGCCACAAGCCTCACTTTTTCCTCATAGCCAAGATGAGAGGGAAAAGTAACCATAGACTTTGAAACAAACCTTCAGGTGTAGTTTACTGAGATATGACTCCTGATCTAGAAAATACTGAGAATGACCAGTGAAAAATATACACAAAACAAATTATAGCTAACTTTTATCTGTGGGCACAATGTTTTATGGGTTAAGTTTTGCTTTTTTTTTTGAAGTAACAGGCTCCATTACTTCATCCTTCTGCTGTGCACCTAGGCCAGTGGTTGGCAAACCACATGTGGCTCTTTGGCCCCTTGAGTGTGGCTCTTCCACAAAATACCACGTGCAGGTGCACACGTACTGTGCGATTGAAACTTCGTGGCCCATGTGCAGAAGTCGGTATTTTGTGGAAGAGTCACACTCAAGGGGCCAAAGAGCTTCATGTGGCTCGCGAACCGCAGTTTGCCGACCACTGACCTAGGCTATCTCCCTGCTTTGATCCTGAGGTAAATACACAGAGGACAATCACTAATTTAATCTGTTTCTCCAACACATATGCAATTTGATATTAAAGAATATTCAGCCCCACCAGTGTGGCTCAGTGGTTAAGCATCGACCTATGAACCAGGTCATGGTTTGATTCCTGGTCAGGGCACATGCCCAGGTTGCGCACTCGGTCCCCAGTGTGGGGCATGGAGGAGGCAGCCGACCTCTCATCACTGATGTTTCTATCTCTCTCTCCCTCTCCCTTCCTCTCTGTAAAAAATCAATAAAATATATTTAAAAAAAAAAATGTTTAAGTTCTATTTCATGCTATTATAATTTACAAAATCTCTCATAAGTAAGATCTGAGACATTTACTAGAGGCCCGGTGCACGAAATTTGTGTTGGGGTGTGTGTGTATGTGTGTGTCCCTCAGCCCAGCCTGCACCCTCTCCAATCTGGGACATCCCTTTCACAATCAAGGACTGCTGGATCCCAACCGCTTGCCTGCCTGCCTGCCTGTCTGATTGCCCCTAACCGCTTCTGCCTGCCAGCCTGATCACCCCCTAACCACTCTCCTGCCAGCCGGATTGATGCCTAACTGCTCCCCTGCTGGCCTGATTGCCCCTAACTGCCCTCCCCTGCCGGCCTAGTCACTCCCAACTGCCCTTTCCTGCAGGCCTGGACCCTCCCAACTGCCCTCCCCTGCAGGCCTGGTCCCTCCCAACTGCCCTCCCCTGCAGGCCTGGTCCCTCCCAACTGCCCTCCCCTGCAGGCCTGGTCCCTCCCAACTGCCCTCCCCTGCAGGCCTGGTCCCTCCCAACTGCCCTCCCCTGCAGGCCTGGTCCCTCCCAACTGCCCTCCCCTGCAGGCCTGGTCCCTCCCAACTGCCCTCCCCTGCAGGCCTGGTCCCTCCCAACTGCCCTCCCCTGCAGGCCTGGTCCCTCCCAACTGCCTTTCCCTGCTGGCCTGATTGCCCACAACTGCCCTCCCCCGCTGGCCATCTTGTGTGTTGGAGTGAGGGTCATTTTGCATATTACCTCTTTATCATATAGGATTGACTGGGTAGCTCAGTTGGTTAGAGCAGCGGTTGCCAACCTTTTGGATCTCATGGACCACCAGTGGTCCGCAGACCACCAGTTGGCAACTGCTGCTCCAAAGGTTTCCTTAACCAGCGGTTGCCAACCTTTCAGACCTCACAGACCACCAGTGGTATGTGGACCACCAGTTTGTGACCACTGGGTTAGAGCACCATCCCGCTATGCCAAGGTTGCAAGTTCAATCCCCAGCCAAGGCACATATAAGAATCAACCAATGAATGCATAAATATATGGAACAACAAATCTCTCTCTCTCTCTCTCTCCTTTCTCCTCTCTAAAATCATTATCTAAATGAAAACATAAAAAAAAAAAATTCCTCTGCCTTACCAAAGATAAATTCTAAGACATTTATTCATATTTCTCTTCAACTCAACTAACCACATTAAAAATATGAAAATGTATAAGTGGTTATGTGTCTGTCTACCGATGTCATCTCTAAGTCATGGGTCTTTCTTAACTATCATCTTTCAGTATTGGAAAGAAAACTGACTACTGTGAAACGAAATCTATGAGTCTTTGGGAACAGAAAATAGAGCAAGCAGGTTGAGATCTTGGAAGAATCAAGGAATAGAAAGGACAAAAGAATCATGTGGACTACTCACAGTGGATCTTCTAAGATCATCCAGTTCTCTTATTCTCGTAAATATAACTTTGCAGAAACAAAATTAATAAAAACCGAATGTCAAAGAACTCCAAAAACAACCTTAATAGATTTTACCTCTAATGCCAAGGCAGTCTTGTCATAAGCACAGGGAACTCTTTTCTGGACTGCTTTTGCAAAGACAGGTCCATTCTGTGTAGACGGCAATGGGTTGATTGCTGCCCCAGGAGTACTGGAAACTGCAGGTAGAGGAGTTGTGGTCTGAGGTTGAGCATATGCATGAGCAGGTTCTGGGATCCCATAACTGTTGGAATTCCTATTTCCATGCTTTCCATGTGGTGAGGATCGCACGAGCTTTTCAACATAAGGGACGGGAATCATCCCGATCCGGCCGTCCTTGTTCCGGGCACTCCACCACTGTTCTTCAGGCTTCTCTATTATCACCAGGATCTCACCTTTTTTAAAGGGCAGGTCTTCAGCATCATTCCCAAGAAAATCATACAGAGTCCGTACATATTCCAGATTTTCTTCTGCTGTAGGCAGGTTGGGTGCTGATACAGATCCCATTGGTGGGCTTGGATACCTTGAGAAAGAAAATTACTTTAAGAGAAAAATCTTACTTTATACCAGTGTTTGCCCAACTTCTAAATAAACCATTCTCTATAATAAATTATCTCCCTCTTTAAATTAATTCCATCTCTGTAGTTAAGATGATTCTGTTGCACTGATTTACTATCATTTGTATTGCAACATAAGTCAATATCCTAAATATGCCTTTTTAAATTACATGCCAAATGCATACACACACATACACACCCCATATTTCTGTTTTACAGGAACCTTTTGTTTACACACAGTACCTGGCCTGAATTTATTAAAAACCTAGAGTAAGTTCAGTAGCTGTCTTCCTCAGGACCTTGTCACAACCACCACATACTCTCCCTCATGGTCTTAATCTTTGGCATGCATCCTGCACACTTCCATGGACGCCCACAGAGAAGATGACAAAGACCTCTGTCTCTGTGTCCCTCACTATATAAAATGCACTACATTCCAAACTTACAAAGCCCTCACAGTACACCTTGTATAGGAATCATCACCTGAACATCCAAATGAAAGCATGTGAAAGTTCTCACTGCAAAACTCACAGGCAAGCCTTAGCTGGTTTGGCTCAGTGGATAGAGCGTCGGCCTGCGGATTGAAGGGTCCCCGGTTCAATTCCAGTCAAGGGCACATGCCCAGATTGTGGGCTCGATCCCCAGTAGGAAGCATGCAGGAGGCAGTTGATCAATGATTCTCTCTCATCACTGATGTTTCTCTCTCTCTCCCTCTCCCTTCCTCTCTGAAATCAATAAAAATATATTTTAAAAAACATAAAACTCATGGGCAAGAGCTATCAGCTAAGCATCAGTCAGTCCACAGACACCACTCCCTTTGTTGTGCTCACAGATTCAATGTGTATTAGCCTAGTACAGTGGTCGGCAAACTGCGGCTCGCGAGCCACCTGTGGCTCTTTGGCCCCTTGAGTGTGGCTCTTCCACAAAATACCGACTTCTGCGCATGGGCCACGAAGTTTCAATCGCGCTGTACGTCCGCATCCGCACGTAGTATTTTGTGGGAGAGCCACACTCAAGGGGCCAAAGAGCCGCAGGTGGCTCGCGAGCCGCAGTTTGCCGACCACTGGCCTAGTACATTGTTTAATGTACTCCCAGAGACAATTACACAAGCACAGTCCCCTGCTCTCCAACATTCCATTTGTAATGCTCCTTCTGCGAAAGAAGTACAGAGGTCTCTACCATAGGTTCAAGAACTTGAGTGTTCTGAAAAGTTGTGAACACACCAAGTTTTATTTTTTATTTATTTATTTTTATTCTTAAATCATTTATTTCAGTCACAGTAAGAGGCAAAGAAAAATTAAACAGGCAGCATACTTGATTATTCATTATATCCTAGAAATGACCGAAGTTATTACAAACATTCTTTTGTTTCACACCAAGTTTTAGAAGAAACTTTTACCATTACCCTGCCCCCATAACTTTTTTGAAGCATACAATCTACACCAGAGTAACAAATCCTGGACTTCATACAAAGAGTCTGCCCATCTTTAGGAGATGACTTTGCCTGCAGAACCATTCACCAGAGCCAGGTTCTAGAATAGCCCTGAGGGAGAATGCTAGGATACTTCCACTAAGGTTTCCCATTAGCCCGTGGCCATTCTCTTTCTTTATTCCCCTGTTAGTCATCTAAGAAGTTATTTCATAACAACGTGATCTATGTCGAAACATTCTTTTAATGTGATTTATAAAAACTATCACCATATTACAACATTCACCAAAAATAGAAAAACAAAAGATTAAAAAAATCCCATAGTTCCTGCTCTAATGTAGCTACAATTCTTCCCTTCTTCTCCCCTCCCACTTCATGACTTAAAAAAAAAAAAAATCCTGTGAATGTCTGTGGCAGTTTTTCTGCCTAATACCACACCACAGGTGTTTCTCCACATCACTGGTCTTTTTCAGGGCAGGATAACATTTCATTCTGGGAGCCTGCTGCAATGAAGCATCCCTGTTTTACTGGATACTTAGGTTTTCTTTCTCCCTATTTAATCATCCACATCACAAATTCTTTTGACCTTATTTTCCCTATGCTGGATTTTTTTGTAAAGCCTTGATTCCCAGATTAAAGAACAGGAACATTTTCATGGCCCTTGGTACATACTTGCTACATGAAGACTTTCCAAAAGCAGTCTTCATGATTTGGTAAAGCTTGTATCTTTTTAATGTAAATTACTAGCTTCACAGTCATCAGAATACCATGGTGATTAGGAGCTTGATTTAAAACATCAAAGGCCTTATTACTTACTAAGGGGCAAATTGCTTACTATCAACAGTACATCTAAAAAGAGATAGCAGGACCCTGGCTGGTGTTGCTCAGTTGTTAAGAGCATTGGCCTATGCTCCGAAGGGTTACGGGTTTGATTCCTGGTCAGGATGCTTACGGAGGCAACGGATTGATGTTTCTCTCTCACATCAATTGTTTCTCTCTCACATCAATGTCTGTCTCTCTTCCTCTCCCAAATATATATTAAAAATATATATATATATTTTTAAAAGAATCAGTTTGAAAAAGCACATCCTCTTTGAAGTCTTCCCTAACACCTTAGTTGATCATACTTGCTTTTAAGCTCCCATGGTATTATATTTTAATTTGTTCAAAGGCTAGAATCATGGTTTATTTGTATTATATGCTTTCAATCTAGTATTGGGCTTTGGTATAGAGTAGGCCTATATATGTTGAAATTTCTAATAAAATTAAAATGCCAAAGACACGGGGAAGCATTTCCCATTCCAGTTTCTATCCTTTTTTTCCTTCTGAAAACACAAAGGCTTTGCCATTCCAACTCCCTAAACCTGGTTTAATTCAGTTAGCAAAGGAAATCCTGGATTTGCCTTCCAAGACTCTTCACCTCAGCACTGATCCACTCATTCTCTTAGCCATCATTCCAGACTAGCTGCTACATGCCTGGGCCCCAAATTACTTATGAGGATCTTAGCTCAGACTCTAGGACAGTGATGGCGAACCTTTTGAGCTCGGCGTGTCAGCATTTTGAAAAACCCTAACTTAACTCTGGCGCCGTGTCACATATAGAAATTTTTTGATATTTGCAACCATAGTAAAACAAAGACTTATATTTTTGATATTGATTTTATATATTTAAATGCCATTTAACAAAGAAAAATCAACCAAAAAAATGAGTTCGCGTGTCACCTCTGACACGCGTGTCATAGGTTCGCCATCTCTGCTCTAGGATAATCTGAACTACCACTAATAAGCACTGCCTCGTTTTACTTATCAGAAATAACTAAAATATTTTAGCCTCAAGAAACCTTAGAAATAATCTAGTCCAACTATTAAGATCAAAGGAAAATTCTTTCTTAGATAAAAAAAATTCTCTAAATTTGAGTCTCAAACAAGAGATATGTCACAAATCAAATGGCTACCAGTATTTTACATGCTACGGGAACATAACTGGGCAAGCTTCCATTCCATTCCGTGCATGACATTGTTCTTATATCTCATCTGAATTGAATTTAGATGATTTAAACTCCCGGTAAGAAGAAACTCAAAGGTTTATTCACAGTGTTGAATTCTATGCTAATCAAAATTACTGGTAATCCTTCCCTATTAATTATAAAAGTCCAGATTTGAGTTCCCTTAAATATTTAGAACAGGGGCTGTGAAAGGAGGTGTGACCCTGCTGCCTGTGGTATCCTCTGGTCCATGCAGTCCTTGCTTTCTGCTTCACAGGTGTGAGGGTCCTCCTCTGGGCACTCAGGTTAGGCTGAGCATCCTTTCCCAGTTCTCCTACAGCTACTTGACCATATTAGGTAGCATGGAAATAGCCTTTATTATCAGTAAGCTCCATTTGTTGCTTCTTGTATGTGCTCTGATGGGGGATTGAACCCACAACCTTGGCCTATTGGGATGATGCTCTAACTAACTGAGCTACCCAGCCAGGACAGGACTATTGATTTAATGTTAGTTCCATATTACCAGGTACATACAATCTGCAAAGTCTGTTGAGTAAAAAACAAGATTTTCTCTAAGGGTCAACTTGCCTCAGTTTTAAAATGTTTACTTCTCATGATTTTTCTCCTAGCCTTCATACATAAACTAAAACTGGAAAAGCAAGTTATTCAAAAAACACTTTCAAGTTTCTAAACCATGGGAAAATATAGTTCATATTTAAAAAATCCACTCAGACACTTTCTGAAACATTCTGTTGTTAAACTTGAAATACCCTCTATTATATATATATAAAACACACTAGTGCTTACCTGACTACTAACTATAGCAATACACAGAATGTTAAAATTGTTTGTATTCAAATGAAATGGAAGTGATTTGTAATATAAAAATTACATCCACATGCATAAAGAGAACCCTTTAGGGTCATTCAAAATTAACGAAAGCTGGCGGGAACACAGCCACATCTTTCTGACTTTCTTCCCTCTCAGGCATGCATCGCCTAAACTCTAAGAGTCCCTGAAAGACTTGCAACCAGGGGAGCAATGGGCAGTGGCAGCTTGTCTTGGGCTAACCCCCTGAACCTGTCTACAAGGCCCCTTTTCTCTGACTTTCCAGTGAGCCACAGCATCTCTGCCCAGATTCTCTCCTGTTGCTTGTTCTATCCTAAGGCCTTCCTTGTTTCACTGTCCCCAGCTTTGATAAACGTATTCCCAAAAAATGAATCAACAAAAAACAACAGACATGTTGTTTTTTGGGGGGCAAGTTTACCACAAATACAAAAAGCTTATTAATTATAGTAATAAGATAAACACAAATATACCAAATCATAGTTTCTTCCTTTCTCTTCCTATCATTTCCCCCTCCCCCACAATCAGGATCAATCTTATCTCCAAAACAGGCATTTTCACCAAGCTGTCTATTGAAGTCTACATATGTCATCAGTCACCATCATTTTGCATCTTGTAATGTCCCCAGGTTCAAACTCCTCCCATGGCACCCACTGAACGTATTATTTATTTATTTATTTATTGTTGATAATATTACAGATGTCTT